GCCGCCACCGCCGCCGCCGCCGCCGCCACCGTCGAGCCCGCCTGGGCGCTGTGGTTAAGCACACGTAGGTCAAGTTACGATACTCCGCTTGGCGCATTCAGTTCGCGGGGAGCGCTCGTGCGGTGCGCGTTGTTGTCCCGTGTTCCTCTAGATGATCGATCACGTGGTGGACACTGCGCCGAGTTCCGCACGCGATAGCGATTCCGTCGCGAAGACGCGCCGCCGTCGTGGGGAAGGGATTAAATGTGCGCGCCGACGCCGCGATGGACAACCCTAGCGGCGGAAGAGACGGTCGGTACACGAGCCTCGGCTACAGCATGGGGATGATCGGGAGCGATGCTGGCACGGAAATCTACGGCCGACCGTCCACCTCCCAGCTCGCGGCGGCGGCGGCGGCGGCGGCGGCTTCCCAGATAGGCCGCGGCGGCGCCACCATGATGTCAGCCGCGGGCGCCGCGACGCCAGGCGTCGGACCCGTTCAACGGGGCATCAAGCGCAGCATCTCCGACGTCTGCTACGGCGACGACGGTAACAATCCACGGCAGCAATCGCTCTCGCAGGGCATGCCCACCGGCGGCATGCCCGGCGACTGCGTCCCTGACAATCTCGACGAGTCCTTCACCAGTCTAGGCCAGCCGAAGAAGTCACCCCCCTCGAACGGCAAGAAGACTAAGGGCCGGGTGAAAATTAAGATGGAGTATATCGACAATAAATTACGGAGATACACGACGTTCTCCAAGAGGAAGACTGGCATTATGAAGAAGGTTTGTATCGCGTATACGACGCAAACCTACCTCTGATCACTGATATGTAATCGCACGGCGAAGTACCGGCTTCCCGCTTTCGCTAGTCTCTGTTACCGTGTTACGTTGCGCGTCGTGCGAAGGGCGCAGTGACTCGACACAGCGTCGTCTACCTACCTCTCTCGCCTCTTGACTCTTGATACTTCAAGTGCTCCGAGAGAGGGAGAGAAAGAGAAAACAAAAAGAGAATGTGCGTGCACGTGTGCGTGTATGTGTGTGCGTATGCGCGCGCGTCAAACTCTGTGAAAATAGTACCCACGTCGACGAGAGACTCGGAGCAATCGGAGTACGATGTCTCACGTGCGTTTTCTCTCCGATTGTCGCGACGACAGCGACGGGAGTCGGGAAATGGGAAGACGGGATGCTGCGCGGAGGGCTTCAGCGCGTGCGCGCTCGCGCTCGCGCCCGCGATTTACGAGTGACAGTACTCGCGCTCTTCCGCGGCTGTTACATGCTTTTGCTAAAGAGAGCCGGTTGCTTGCACTTGAAGCTGCCAGTTAGCGTTCATTGCGATTTACTTTTTTTCTGTACCGCTCTGTCGGAGATTGTAATCCAAATCTCTCCCAAGAGCGGAGAGCAAATCTCTCCTAAGTCCTTCGTTTTCTTTTATTTAGAGACACGAGGAGGACAACGCGATTGAATCTCATTCGAGACTGCACTGTCAAAATCTTATCACTGTATCTCGAATTGGCGAAATGAATTGCTATTTTTGTCGATAAATAACCGGATAAATGAATATAGATAAATA